CACAAATGGTAATCATGTGACCATGGGATGCTGCAACCATTGTTAGTGCGAGCTGGTTGCCAAGTGCCTAAATCGCGATCACATGAGTGTAGGGGTGCTGCAATGGTGGAACTTTGAGGACCAATTGTAAGTACCACCAAAGTCATAACTTTGAACGGTTGCTAAACAAGTGGTTATAACCTGAGGACTACCTAGTATCTTATTTGAATACTACAAATTTTGTGATTGCTTAAGGTTTAGTTATGAATGAAAAGCTTAAAGTGTATGTCAGAAGGATGAATTGGTATAAACTAGATTGTTGATGGTACATATGAAAACTGAAATCCATAGTTTGGTGATAGGTTCATGTTATGTTTCAGTGAATGCGAATAATGAAAGAGCCAGAGATGAGTTTTTGGAGAAACTGCAATATTCTGAATGAATGCAGCTTTGGGTGTGTTTGTGGATATTTCTGCTACCTGACTTGAATGGATGGGTGGGAACAAGATGAGAAAATACAGAGAAAGTAATGGGCCACTCATTGATGCAAGAATCAATGAGAAAGATTATTTGATGACCATGTGCTTAGAGAAAGGTCTGTTTTAAATATATAGTTAAGCATAAACCTAGACATACATATATATGGAAAATGACTAAATTAAAAAAAACATGATTGACTTTATTGTTTATGATGAAATACTGAGAGAATTCATAAAGGGTACGTGGATAATGAGAGGTTCTGAATGTGGGAGATACCATTATTTATGTCCAGAACTGGCCATAAGAAAAATATACATGGGGAAAAGAAGAAAAGAAGTGAAAGGAACAAAACTGAAAGTAGAATGAAGAGAAAGTTCAAGTCTTTTTATGAACAAGTATTAGAAGACAGATTAATCTCCCCAAATAATTAATAGAAAGTGAATGTCAAGCAAGAAGGAAGTGTGGAAATCACTTGAAACTAAGTTAAAATGTTACAGACTACAACAGAGGCAGTCTATAAAATGCACATCAGCAAATGAGGATTAGAGAAAAGTGCTGTGCAGTATGTATATAGAGAAAAACATAGTTTTCCTTAGCTGATTTCTGAGAAATATATGAAAGAAAGAAAAGTTGTATTTCATTTAGAGAAAGCAGATAATAAAGTGAACTGGCTTAACTACTGAATGAAGTTCAAATTGTGAAACAAATATATGTAGGAAGAGTGAATGGGTCAAGTAGAAGAGAAAGAACAAAGCAGTTGTCATTGGCTAGACTAAATATAATGTTCAAAAAGAATGGTGAAAAATATAAAGAGTGAAATGCAACACATGGAGCAACATATGGACATGATGCAAGAAAAGATGTTTTCAAGGACTGTGAGATATGGAAAGGTATAGTGGGGTTAGTATAAGCTAAATTTTAGCTAGAGTTCTTTTTCTTATCTGCCTTAATTTATTTGGCTCACTATTTTTTACTCCTTTTTTGTGCTATGCATGCACTGTTTAATCTGAAAGAGAAAAGTGTTCTATGTACGTAATGAATGTGATATTAACAGCCTGATTTTTCCCACTTTCTATTTTGAATACAAAGACAGTTTCACTGGTCTACAATCAAATCTATTATCAACAAAATGTTCTAATGTGGAACACTTAACTTCTCACTATTCTAAATAATCAAGCCAATTCTGGAAGTAGGCAGGTGGAGAGAGTAACAGAAATAATTCTGCAGTAGGGATGCAGGGATGACGAATTTGTGGCTCATTTGAAGAGCCATATGGTCTTCATCCCTGACCTAAAAACTGCTGGGAAAACAGGGGCATGCTTTTAATCTTTTAAAGTGCAAAATATCCTTCAGAGATGGTGAATAACTATACACCTTGTACAAATTAATTCTTTCTTATCAGCAAGAGAACTAATTACCTAAGCAAACTCTAACAGAGAAAATCTGAATCTAATCATTTTAATTTGCTCATATAAAAATATCAAACTAGCAGCAAGCAATGTTAGTTGAGGCACTACTCTTCATTAAAACAAACAGTAGCATACCATGGAATGCCATCCATCCTTCTACAATAGGATACAAGTGAACACATCCTACAATTTCATCTATGTGATTTGCTCTGTTAATACAAAGTGCTAATTTGCTTTTCTTTATTTCAACTGTATTATTTACCTAGGATTGGAGCAAGGTACTCTTTGAGTATTCACATTATCACATAAAGGCTCTCCTCCATGGTAGATACCAGTTCGGACATAAATCTGAAAAAAGGATAAACATAACCATATAAGTACTAAAAATTGGAATTAGAAGATAAGCATCAATTTAAGAAAAGCAAAATATATACAGAAAATGAATCTGTCGGCTGATTAAGGACATCTATCAAATGAAATAGAATTAGTAAGCACAGGCTAACTTACCAAAATTACTTTTCATTTATATTGGAAATCCACCCCATTTGAGAGTAAAAGCAGTATTAAAACTGTGCAGAATATAATAAAGGCCCCTTTATAAAGGTTTTACGGAGTATCTGATATAGTTCAAACTTTGATGAGTATCTAAAGGAAGAAAAATGTCTAACCAAGGCATTATATTTTAAGATGATCCAAGTGGTGAACCACAACACATAAGTAAACCTCAGTAAGAGGTATCCATGCCACCCTGATCAGAACATTTACTAATCGACTTCCATTTCTGACTGGATTCTTTTTGTTAGATTGTCCACACAGAGTTCAGAATCAGATATATTTGGATGTTGCTAATCAGGAACACAACTATCACACTTACACATCCATAATTCCTCTCCTACCTTGTCAATGTCCCGAATATTTACATTTACGTAAGTAGCACAGAGAATCTTAATTCTCAGATGACTGTTAATAACCCAGAGAGATTTGGCAGAAGCTTCCCCATTCATGTACGGAGTAGCTGTAGAAATACGCCTAGAATAAGATGGCATTGCAAATGTATCCAATGGCAGTTGGGCATAAAGACTCTCTTTAGTCATCAGCATCAAATTGGGCATTCGGCCAAGCATGATACAGCTCCGAATATACTGAAATAGGTAAGCAAAACAAAAGAAAAGACAAGAAAAGCACAATGATTGTCCTGGACAGAGCTCTCCTGAAGCATCATTAATTAGCTAGAAAGTTTACAATGTCAGCACTGTTAAGATTTTGCTATTCAGGGCTAAGGAGCCAACACAGCATCAGCATCTAATGAAGCCAGCATGTAAGATGTGGAGTAAGAGAAAAGTTATTCTAGTAACTGATAGCTATAGGGAATTCCTTGCAAAGATGATGTTTGTATTAGAGTGTAAGATAATGTAAAACCAGATCTTCAGACTGTTTTCTGAAAGTAATACATTCACATTTCTTATTTTTTCTAGTAAGGAAAAAGAAGTATCAAGGTGGGAGGAGAGGAATGAACTTTTGGGGTGAAAGCTATTCACTTAACAGTGTCTAAGAGTATAAAAATCTTTCTGGTAGGTCTCTTTTTTTTTCAGGCAAGACTCATGCTAAACTTGAATAAAGTGTTACCATTTTATTTCAAATTGTTGCTGGAGTCAGTAAGACTGATTTCCACTATATAACAATACATTATATGAAGTAAAATATTCAAAACTGAAACATTTCCCAGTAAAACCTACCAAATCATACACACATAAAAACAGCTTCGGAACTTCATCTTTTGTACATTGCTATATCAGTTGCATTTTTATATTTACATATGTCTGTTTCCTTCTACTTCCACTACATCTAATTTGGACAAGTGACATTAAATTCTGAAAATATACATGATATTCACTCACCTTATACTGACTCAGTGGGTGCTTTTCTAACAAATACTCATCACAGCCACAGACTTTTAAAATATACTTCCCCTGGTATTCTAACACACAGAGTTTCAGCTGTTCCGATGATAGCAACATACTGCGTGTTTTTTTCCTGATTGCTTCAGCAATTACTTGTTCTGGCACATAATCGTGATTGATTTTTAAGGTGTACTTCTGTTTGTCATTATTGGGGGAGACTATAACCCAAATCACTACTATTATTTGTCCTGAAATGGAAGAAAGATTGCTCAGATTGCATCAGGGATCATGCCATGCAACAGAAAGCAGAAAGGCACAGCCTCACCCCTTGTTTATGCTACCCTACTTCAACATGTTTCGATATCAAAAGAAAATAAAATAAAAAATGAATAGAACCAAATTACTAGTTAAATGCTATGCATCTTTATAACTACAGAAAAAGGTAACAACTAGGTTTTAGAAACATGAGCCAAAAGGCTAGAATGCAACAGGATCATAAAGTGACACACTGATATAGCAGGGTGAGAGGCGAACAGTGAACAAGCTTGGATCAGTGAACAAGCTTGGATAGATTCAGGCTGCAGTGGAAGTATCAGCAGGAGGCAAATGAGATGGAGAATCCTAGGACCCAGAGATGCTGTACCTTTTCTGATTCTGGGACAAACTGAAGGCAGCACAGGAAGGAGGGGAGAGAGAAAGAGAGAGAACTGCAACTGCAGAACAGAAACAGAGGCTGCTTCGGACTGGGAATGACTGGTGGGAAGGTGAACTGATTGCATCATGTCAAGTTTTCCCTTTCATTTAAAATTACTAGCAAAATATAAAGAAAACTAAAAGCAAACCTGGAGGGGGTGGGGGGAGAGAGAAGCAAAGGGGCAAATTACAGTGGAAAGATGGCTTCAAAGGCTACACCCAATGCTCCCCCCCCTTTTTTTACAGTCATGCTACAACATATGAATTCCACTCAGGATACAAAAGCTGCATTCACTGGTGATTTACTATGTAATAAATAACAAAAGCTTCCTAAAACTTGCTAACTATTGTTTATATAGAAAAGAAATGGTTACACCAAGCAATTTAAGGTATATCTTCAAAATAAACTATTTGTACTGAATAGATTACTCTGATTTGAAAAGCATGCACATTAAATCAAATCAAATCAAATCTTTATTATGGTCATAGACCATTATAGTGTGCACATCAAAGTTTCCTTTAAAATTTACAGTATATATTGACTGATTTCATTGTTCAAATATGATCCCATTTCCCTGAATGCTGAAACAATGAATTATTAATGCATTTTTTTTTACCTTTATCAAGTTTATTGTATATATGCTTTGGTAGATCAGATGATTCTATATTTGGGGGACAGACATACAATGCTCTGCTATGGGGCGCATTAGCGTCTCGTAGTTCTACTGCTTCTTTACAAACATTAAGAATGTTTCTTCTGAAATCCTGAACTTCTGGATCCTTCACCAAGTCAAATTCACAAACAGGCATACCAATAGCAAAACCTAAAAAAGAATGACACCTCCTTTGATACCATGTCAGAGTGCAAGGCTCCACCATCCCATCTCAAAATCTGCTCTTGGATTGAGTACCAAGCCTGCTGTAACTATCCCCAGAGGGTGACCCCAGGGGCTGTTATAGTGGTCTCATGGAACTGAACTTAACAATGCAGGTAGTCCTCTTTTAGTGACCACAACTGAGACCAGCAATTTGGTCATTACATGAAGTGGGCACTAAGTAAAACTTCACAATTTTACGGTTTTACTTCAGCTTTCCTTTGCTTTACAGACCTGTAAAGGTCATAAATGGAGGCACTGGTTGCCAAGTTACTTTTTCATCACTGTCATAACTGCAAACAGTCACTGTAGAAGGCAGTAGCTAAATGAGGACTACTGGTAACCAGTGGTTCTTCAGTTCAAGCTATATGTGAAATGTGTTCCCTCGTCATGCTAATCCAGTTTGTTTTAAGCAAGATGTGTTCAACAAACCACAGAAGCCTAGCTGAAACAAAATATTAAGCCATAAACATGGCTTAGAATGCAACAACACATCTTGTTAAAAGCCAAAAGCACACCACATGGCCCTTCAATAAGGGATGGCTCCAGGACTGTGGTGACAAGTTCATTTAGTCAGAAGTGATACAATTTCCTCTATTTTGGGATAAAGAAGTAGTTTAAAGTCTTGATGCCACCACTCCAAAATGATACATTTGGAGTTCTTACAGTGATTTTATCTTCTCACTTTTCAGCAATTTTTTTTACCTAACATAGGAGCTTAGAATTGGCAGAGAGGGAACTGACTTCTTCTGTCTCCCATTTACTCAGAGGATCTAGTAGTATATGGACCCTGATACTATGTGCACAGAAAACATGGGTGTAAATAGTTTCTGTTTAGAGATACAGGACATTGCGCTTATTTACAGAATTATAGTCGTCTTTGTCACAAGAGACAACAATGTTTTTCTCCCTCTGTTTGTTGCTTTTTCCTCTCCAGTTAACCCTTTATTTACCTTAGTAGAATGGAAGAAATAACCATTTCACTGAGTTGTTCTAAAAGTTGGTTCACTGGAGTCATGACATACGAAGGGAAGGGTAAAAGCAAGGAGTGGTGCATGACAAATTCAGTTTTGGCTGCCTGTTGTAAGATTGTTTCATTACTACAAGAGTAAAACAATATTTTAGAGCTACTGAGCATATCACTTTTGGAACTGTGGGTATTGCCATAAAATTACAGCAACTGATGGTGGGGGGAACTGCATATTCATAAAATGACTATTGGATTATTTGTTCCCTAACCTCTATGATATTTTTTTATTATTCAATGATTTTTTTTCTTCTTTGCTGGCCAGTGGGTACACTTCTAAACAAAACACTGGATTTAAATCACCCATCTTTTTAATTTTCTTATATTTTTAACCTACTCAAATAAGTTTCTGGGCAGATTACAAAATCATTTAAAATACTAAAAACAACAGCAAATACATAAATAATAAAAGTGCCCATCTTGTTGGAGTGCAAACACTTCAAGTAAATGCCCAAATAGCTCCATATGAAAGGAAATCTTCCTTGATATATTCTTGTCCCAAGCAAATTAAAGATTAGCACCACTACCTTGGATTGTGCTAGAAGAGTTGATGTAGCATTAGAACATGTTGTATTAAATTATTATTTTGTGTACATGATAATGCAGACAATGTATTGGTTGTCTCACACAACCAAAAACAGGTGAAAGGTCATTCAATTACATTTCCATAAATCTAACAGTGTCTATCTTGTGATAATTGCATGAATCCTCTCTCCCTGCAGTTGGAGGGAAGTGAGACACCTTTCTTTACAAGTATTTTAAATTGTATGCTATTTTGAGTATCTTCAGATTAAGTAGTAATTCATATATAGTTGCAATAAATTAAGAGAGCAAGCCTCACCGATTTCTCGATTCAGAATTTTTTCTTCTCTGTTGCCCACTGGTTCTATAACTTTTAAAAAAGGCTGGAAGAGCCGCAGGTCACATAATCGACGTGTTTCATCGAAGAATTCTTCTCTTTCTGCTTCTTGTGTAACACTTACAAAAATGTAAGATGACTCGTCTTGAAGGAGCTGGTAGAGAGGGTATTTTCTAGCTTCTTTAAAGAGTTCGTGTTTAATATTTAACAAGGTGGCCTCACGGAGGCATTCTAAAGTCACTATCATACCATTAGGTAGAAGACATTCTACTAGGATTCTTGGTGGCATCAAGTGCATGCCCCATAATTCACCGGATGATGGTCGTGGAGGCATTTTGTTACCCCTCTTCTTTTAACGTTATCAAAAAACTATGACTGAAGATTCCTGTAGGAAAGACTAAGTAAAGAAAAAAGTGTATTTAAATAACTTTTATGTGTGTTTCACAATTACATTTTATCTGATATCATACTTTCAGAACTATGCATTAAAACAATGAATGCAAGATTTCTTAACAAATTTCCTTCCAGCTTTCATAATTAACTGTGCCACCTATGGCTCATCAGAAAGTTAACAATACTCCAAACCAAGTTTGACCAGGAGCACATTTGCAGTGACAAAGTATTGCGCTATGTCTAACAGAGGCCTAAAAACATACCTACCCAATATCTGCAGTAAGAAGATAGGATACAGAAGTGGCAGCAATCGATTGTTGACAGATGTGCCAGATAGAGTTTAAAAGAACAGAAAAGTAGAGTGGCCAGGTATACAGGTATTTTGCCAGAGGTGAGAAGCAACACAGTTCTGGCCATAAACAGATTCTGGAACAAAAGCTAGGGTCCACCCAGTTTACCATGACATGCCTTTGGTAGCAGTGGCTAAGATTCTCCCCTCCCTATCCAGTTCCTCCTCCAATAATAGCCTAATCAGCAACCTGACTCACTGGGTAGAAAGACGTTATGTTTCAGTTTCTAATTCTTTTGCTATAATTATAAGAACATCCACATTTGAATAAAGTAAATCCCTTACTTTATTCAAAAAGCCGTTCAAAATGCAGGAGTAAATGCAGTTCTTAGTTGTTTCTCTGAATTACTTTTTAATAAAGTGACAAGGAAACTTTGCTTGATTTGCATGTATTAAAACACATATGTTCTTAAGATCATATAGTTTTCTGCTATCTGAGAAAGCCTCCTGTTGTGCTATATGCACATGTGATAAGTCTATACTGCATATATATATATATACATACTTCATTGACCTCCGTTCATGGATTTTTTAAATTTAATTCTCTTAAGTTAAAACCTTGATCATGCTAGTGCACTTTGGGGAGCAGGTCTCGAGGCAACTCTTCTCAGTGACATACACAGTTCTTTCACTATCACTATAGCAAGAAGTCTATATTATCTCTCTGTTCTGCTACATTTTCAGAACCCCAAGCAACAGCAATAGATATTTAGAAAAGTGGCCAACTGTTTTACATACAAAGCATTCTTTTTGTACTGCCCTTATTGGTTCTTTGAGATGGCTATATTTTTCAGAAAATGCCTAGTTTGGCACACTTTTCTCTAACAGAAAAGAATGGTAGCCTAATCATCAAACTAAATATAGTGCATCATCGATGCCTGGCAGAACCACATACATAGTTCTGAAATATTTTTTTCCTTTTTCTTTTAAATGAGCAGGAACAGGATTTTGTCAGCTAAGGCTACCAGATCTGAGCTAAAAAAATGTGGACCATCACTAGAGCATCCCTGCTTGCAAGTATGACTTCCAGGTGGGGGGAAAATGGCAGACTGATGCATCTTTGCGAACGGAGATGATGCTGTGGTGAAGACTGGCGGCCAAGGGCTAAGCCCAGGTCAACAATGCCTCTCCAGATGAGGAGAGGCTGGGAGACTGCCCACTTGTGCTCCGAAAGGCTGTTCCTTGTGACAAGACCCCCAAGATCCAAAGAGGTTTTGCAGGGCTTCTCATGAGTCTAAGCACCACAGGCCATGAGTCTAAGCACCACAGCACCACAGACAGAAAGCAAGCTCACAGCTGCAGTGGAGCCAGCAAAAGGACATTGGGTTTGCAAAAGTTCCCCAAAATAATTGGAAGATAATTATTTCAAAGTTAAAGAGAGATCTTCAATGCAGCAGAGCAATCAAGCCACCCAGTGAGTGATCCTTCATCCCAGGTTAAAGATAAGAGCAAAGGAACAATTTAAATGATTTAAAAATAATTAAAGGCAAAAAGCTTGCCAAGAGTTTAAAGTAAGGAAGTTTAAAATGGACTAAGGGGACAATTTGGATTTACTGATTTTAAAGTATTTTTAAAACAAGTAAACAATTAATATATTATCTCATGGGAAAGCGTTTATTTGGGCTAATTGGGGACAACAACTGGACACCTTTGCAAAACAAAAGATAAGGAAAAATTGCTAAAGACCATCTGACTACAGAACTACGGTGAGCTGAATGGGACTAAAGACTTAATGATTTAGAGAAAAGGGGAAAAAGTTCCTCTTTTACTTTTATTTCCCCTTTCTGGATTGAAACAGCTGTTATTAGAAAAGTAGCAAAACTTAGAGAAAAACATATTACTCTTGAGGCATTCCAAAGGATCTTTGAGGAATTGGGAAAGAGTGTTACAACTACAATAACAGCATCAATAACTGCCTACGTGAATGCATTGTTTAAAAAGATCTGAAAGAAAAGATAAAAGAAGAGATGAAAAATAACTTTGAAGAATGTGCAGGACAAGTGAGTGGAGAGATGAAGCAAATTAAAGTGAAGGTGGAAATTTTGGAAAATAAAATAGAAATAATAAACAGAGAGGAAATACAAATATTAAGTCAAGAGATGAAAAATGATACAGATAATGGATTACTACCGGATTATAAGAAAAAGAATCCTGTTTGAGACCAAGAGTACTTATAGAACAACTTGGTGAAAATAGTAAGGAGAAGGCTTCTTGAAGCCTTAAAATAATTTTAGGATGGAAGGAAGAAGATATGGATGGAGATCAGGTTCTATGACAATATCTTAATGTCAAGTTAAGGATTAATAATGCCAGAATACTACATAAGAGAAAGAAATACAAAATTGACTTATTTGATCAGGGATAAGATAATAAGTACTTTTACAAAATACTGGAAATTCTTTATGGACTTTTTCCTGAAAATGGAACAGAGTTAATGATTTTTGGATTTACGAGCTGAAAAGGGTTGGATATGGGAAGAAGTGATCTATGTAATGTAGATTTATTCCTCTTTTTGGTTATCTGTTATGGGTCTATGTGTGTCTCTATTTTAGTCTGTTAATGCGCCTCAAAAATGCATTTGTTTCTGGGAGAGTAATTATAGTCTCTTGACACTGTGTACAATTTGGCCTTAAGATATGCCTTTTTCAAAAGTTCCAGTTGCAAAAACATAAATTTTCTCCACAATTTAAAATAGCAGTGCAGTTAAATTTAGAGAGTACTTTAAACTTCCTTTTATTTGAAGATGAAAGTAAGCATCTTATTTTGGAACATTTTGATCAAAATAGCACCAGGCATTTATACCTTTCTTCCTCAGGACGTGGAAAAGGATAGTCCATACTTAGAATGTAAATATGTTTACTTTGCTAACTCGTGGAAGCTAGACTCTTAGAAAGAGGGACTATAAAACAGAGTTCTTTTAAAATACAATAGTCAGAAAGATAGGTGAAACAGAACAGATTGTACCTTTGGTAAACTAATTTTAAAAATTAGACATTTTTAGAGATATTAATAGAATAGAGATCCTTCAAACTGTTCTAAATTTTATCTCACTATCTCTCATAGCTGACAAACTATTTAGAAAGGAATAATACATAAAAGTTCACAAATAAGTCATAATTAGCCTTTGCCAGCTATAAACTACTTTCACCATCAAATTCACAGTTTAACATTAGTATGAAAATTCATAGTAAAACAAAGCATCACTAGGTTAAGGCTTATGGGTATAACTATATCTTATATAAAACATTTTCTGGGGCAATTAAAAAACTGGACATAATGTTTAACTTGTTCCTCTACACAAATTCAGTTTGAAATTTCAATAATCTGAAAAGTGTACACTATTCATAACAAAAGGAGTCTGGCAACATAAGATACATCTGAAGAAATGAGATGCAGCTCATGAAAGCTTCTGTCTTTTAATATAACTTGTTAGTTGGAAAAGATGCTACCAGACTCCTCCTGATTTTTTGCCACCATAGAACTATTCATAACAGTAACTGTCATCTTTCCCAATTAAAGAAGGAGAACAGTGAGTCGGTAAAGACAATATAATTTTATCAAGTGGAGAATCCTCTGACAACTTGGATAACTTTCCTATATTCCATTTACAAAAGAGACCTGTTAAAGCTTTGAAGAATTTTGTGAGAAGGGACAGGACAGGACAGGACAGGACAGGACAGGACAGGACAGGAAAGACATTTTTAGGATATTATTTGAAGGGACTAAAGATCGTTAAAAGTAAAAGGAAGGAATATAAAGTTGGTTTATATGATTAAAATAAATATATTACCTCTGATAACCCTTAATGGACTTTTGCTGATCAGGACTGAACAATAAGGCTTTAAGGATTTGTTAGATAAGAGATGGGATATGGACAGAAGATAACATTTGTTGTATTTAAAGAGAAGGTGATAAGTTACTAAAATTGTTTATTCTTGTTATGATGAAGGGGGAAGTAATTTTTTAATATATTTCTTTTCTTCTTCTTTCTTCTTCTTTCTTTCTTTTCTATTTTTTCCTTTCTGCACTATTTTTTCTTTTTTTAGTTTGTATTAGTTCTTATCTTTTTAATTGTAACTTTTAATAAAATTACTATAAAAGAGAATCCTCCCAAAACTACAAAGATAAATCTTTACCAAGATTAAGAAGCAGTAGCAAATGTTACAACAATTTATGCTGTAGTCTAAGCATAAAATATTTCACTAGCACTTTGTTCTCAAATTTTGCAATACTGTGACCCTCTAATATATTTTGAATGTGAATTTTCATGAAATATCCCATCTGAGTTGTGAAGCTGTTTTTCAAATGTGAAATTGGCTGTTTCAAGCATTTTGGAAGGACACCAAGCTTGAAATAGAAGTCTTTTGAGCTTGAAACATCCCTAGAATGCCAAAAATATCCCACTTTGCATTTGATACAGCTGTTTTGCATACCTCATGAAATTTTATGCTTGAAACATTTTGGGGAAAAAAAGTTTTGCATATTCCTACCCCAGGCTAGAAATATATTACTACACACCATGACGGAAGTCACCACTGCAACTGTGATTAGAGAATGATTTTGGCAGATGGTTAGAATATAGGTTTAGCTCTCTCTCAAAACTTGCTTTGTGCTTTGCTCCCTGCTTTGCCTGGGCAAGCAAAATATGTTTTGCCACAAAACCATGAGCTTTGTTAAAAAAAAAGCTTTGTGATCTCCCTCTAAGTTGCTCACAATCCCCAGGTTTGAGAACATCTTTGCTAATAAAAATATTTAAGATCAATGGAAACTGAAAGTGAATGTTCTTTAAATAATGTAAAGGATTTCAAATATTTTGAATTCAACAATGGCAGAAATCTAATGTATTCTTGGACTGTGCCCAATTAATATAGCCCAATTAAAAGAATGATGTTTACTCCAATAGAGCCAAATACAAACTTCAGCTTCACCCTTCATGTTTCTTTTGTTAATAGTTAATTATAACAAGCTATCAGGGCATCAACTCTTCAAAGGATTCCTTGGAAACAGATTTTAAAAGCTTGAAGCTTTTCTTTTTTTATGCCTGAAATTAAGACAGAGCATCATTTGAATGTTCGTAACATATCATATTTGTGTTTTTGCAATACAGAGTATATGATATAACCTTCTCATTGTCCCTAAACTAAATCATAGTACCTGCAGATCAGTGGACTTGAAAAAGAAATGACAAGACAAATAAACAAGCAAATAAAACAAAAACATACCTGCAATGTCTTATTTTTTGGATCAGGGAGATCCCACACAGCTCCCTACTTCACATGATGGTTACATTATTGGGAAATTCTCTGTTATCCACATGTTGTAAAATAGGAATGGATTTTTCATAATATACAGAAACATTCTACAGTCTTTATATGAACCGTTTCTCAACTCTTGGACATCATACTGCTTGAATTTTTACTGTAAAACACTAAATTTATAACCAAATTCAACATAGCTGTTTCCACATAAGTAAAGTTAGCTGGAGGGCAAATGTCCAATCATGTGACTATCCTAGAAAAGAAAGAGAGAGAGAGAGAGAAAGAAAAAAAAAGAATTATCTTAAGTTATATCATGGAAAGCTACGCTCACAGAAAGACCCAAATATTATATACTGTAGATTGTGTGAGGGATACACAGAGATTATAGCATTTTTTTTCCTTGTAACACTAGATTAAGCCTGTTTTACCATGTCTCACAGAACTGCAGTTGGAATCAACCTAAAGGACTCAGTATATTCCCAAACATCAGTTCTCTTACTGTCTGTGATAGAACAAGACTGGAAAGATGACAAAAGCCTTTAAAAAGCCATATATGAAATGAAAGCCATAAACTTGAGTTTGCCCACATATTAACTTAAAAGCTTACTGAGTCAAAAGTGAATTCACATGTAAGTCTTCATAAAGATGTGTTTCCAAGGATGGTTACTGTAAATAACTGTTTTATGACTTGTGAGTAAAGTACTTGTAATAGTAAACAGTCCTATTTCCCCCTCATTTATTATAGATATGCATAAGAGTTGACTAAAAAAAGCTAAAAATACTTGCCCCAGAATCAAAGCATTACCAATTAATATTTGCTCCAATTTATTAGTTATAGATTAAAGCTCATACTCTAAATATAGAGTCTTCTTGGAGTTGGTTGACCTTAATAAATCCAATCAATCAATCAATCAATCAATCAATCAATCAATCAATCAATCAATCAATCAATCAATCAATCAATCAATCAATCAATCAATCAATCAATCAATCAATCAATCAATCAATCAATCAATCAATCAATCAATCAATCAATCAATCAATCAATCATCTATTATACATTTACAAGATACTTAGTAACTTGCCACTTCTGTTTCTCAGTTTAAAAAATACTTCAGAGATTGAGTTGACTTTCATCTTTCTTTCATATCTCCCTAACATTTATTTATTTATTTATGGCCACCCACCTCACAAGAAGTGATTCTGGGTGGCATACAGCAAAAAAAAAAAAAAAAAAAGGTATAAAACAAAAAACATGTCAAATGCAGTCATATTAACAAAACAAAACAAAAGTACACACAAGAGATTCGATCAGCAATGGAGCCACCTTTGCAATTTTTGAAAGAAAACATTCTTTTGCAAACTTTGAATCCCTTCCTCACTGCCTTTTCTATAATGGCACATATGACTAACTTGATATGTAAGAATTAATTCATACCTATTTTTACATTAAATTACTTAATAAAATACCACCGAGTTACAAAATATAAACTATACACACATATAAACCATCATACTATTATCATTTCCATTAAGTGATATGTGAAACTCAGGGAGTTAAAGATTGTAAAGAAATTAAATATATAATAAGAAAACAAAATTTGGCTAAATCTAGCTTCTGTCAATTCCATTCACTTATACCTCTTAATACTTGTCCATCATTGCAAACCATCCTTTCTTCCACCACATCCATACATTACTTTTTTAAAAAGAACTTCTTACCTCTAATAAACCATGACTTTATCTTCCCCTTCCTCTCAATCCATTCATTCCTCTCAACCCATATATTGTTCTGCAGTTTGATGATCACTTATTTACTTTATATGACCAAACAACCTTAATGTACTTTTCTACTGGTTATTCATTTTTATATTCAAACCATATTCATTCAGCAACCATTTCTTCATGACTCTATCTCATCTTCTTAAGTACCTCATTCCCACAGCATTTGACTTACTTTTAGGTTTTCCTGACATGCCTAGCCCTCAATTCCATATAACAAAGTGGGTAGATGAATGCTCTTATATGCAATCATTTTTGCTTATTTTGACAAGCATTCATTCCTCAAAACAGACCACATGCTATCTACTTTCTACCAACATTTTCATATCTAAAATTTTCTCTATCCACTTTTCATCTTTAGTAAACATTCTATCATAGTAGAATATCCTTTGTACACTCATTTGTACAAATTCATTTACTTGCTCTAGTTCACCATTTATGCATAATTTGTAAATGTTCATTTCATTTTCTCATCTAGCATAACCAATTTGTTATTTGATACATTAATTTTTGATATTCATATCACTCAGTACATAATATAATCTAACATTCCCTGCAAGTCATTCAGATTCTGGGAGAAAGATGTTACTACATATTACCTGACTAGAAAGCTACAGAGGCTTCTATGCTACCCTTGGAAACTACTGTAATTTTAAAATGTCCCGAATGAAGAGATACTCAAAAAACCAAACTGTTGTTAATCTGAGTGCAGAGACACTGCTCCAGTGGATGGGAAAAGACAAAGTAAGTTGTCTGCTCCAGAAGCAAAACAAAAGGTACATCTCACAAACATTTATCCAAGTCAGAACTCTTAAAGAAATAGGAAAGTATTGTCTAGACTTGCTGGAAATTTTGCAGTGATTTGGCAAGCTTTGCCAAATGAAGTCACAAATCCCTAACTATCCAGTCTAGAATATGTCTATTTACAAAAAAAGGTTAAATCAACATCTTTCTTTCAGTATTAACTGAGCCAAGCAAATGGTAACCAAGGTTTTCTCTTAACTTTTGAAATGATATATTGCTAAACACATAAACAGTAGTGCTGTGCCCAAAAATATTTGACACAGATGGAATATTAGATAGGAAACAATGCAACTTTAGTGATACTGATTTTAATTTTGAGTGTAGTGATTTTGCTGTTATGTTTTATATTTTGTTTCTTTAGACTTGATTGTTTATACCTGTACAAAGTAGAATATACAGGTGGTCCTCACTTAACGAGCACTCTTTCAGCAACCATTCAAACTTGCAATGGCACTGAATGAATGGTACTTAAAACTGGTCCTCAGAGTTCCAGCTGTCGCAGCATCCCCATGGTCACAAGGCTGCCATTTGTGATTTTCTTTGCCAGCTTCCAACAAACAAAGTCAATGGGGAAGCCAGCAGGAAGTTGCAAATGATGACCATGTGACATCCTCACTTAACAACCTGCAGTGATTCACTTAATGATGGCAACCAAGAGTGCTGAAATTGCTATCGCTAAGCAGCATAGTCACATGATGTTGCACTTTACAACCACATTGCTTAGTGACAGCAATTGGGGCTGAAATTGCTGTCACTAACCAAGGACTACCTATACATTAAATATTAAAAAAAAAATAATGAAATCAAGTTGTGCTCCAATGTGTATAAATACAGTGATTTACATCTTATCATCCTGCATGAATATCATCCAATCAATGGAATAAATATGGTGGCTTGCTTATTTCTATTTTACCAACTTCTAGGTGCCTTAATCACAACAGCAACTCTACAGAACATACAACAATATAACAGAAACAACTAAACAACTAGAAGCGGCAAGAAAAAAACAGTTCAAATATAATGAAAAACAAATTAACAACCCACATTAGTAGAAACAGCAACACAAATCATGCAACATACAGAACAGATATCACAAATGGGAACACAATTGGTCTGTTCCAGGATGTGCTGAAAAAAACTGGTCTTTAAGGTTTTCTACATGAGAACATCCCTTCAAATCCCATTGTCCTGCCTTATTGTGAGGGTGGAGGTGGGGTGAGGAGAAATTCCTGAGAGGGATGAGTGAAAAATGCTGGGAGTGTATACCAAGAGTTTATAATCCCAGCAGGGTCACCCAAGGTATGAAGGTCACCCCAGTTGCCCAGTTAAAACATGCAAGGAACTATATAGGAAGAAGTTGGAGATGGAAGATCATTTTAGTGAGAAAAGCAAAGGCATTGTTTCATGATCTGTGGGAGGAAATGGCACAGGTAGTCCTTGTTTAGTGACCGCCTCATTTAGCGACTGTTCAAGTTACGACGGTGATGGAAAAGTAACTTTACAACCAATCCTCACATTTACAACCTTTGTAGGTCTGTAAAGCAAAGGAAAGCTGAAGTAAGGTCATAAGCACAGTTGTGGTTTCACTCAATGACAGCTTCACTTAATGAGTGAGTTGCCAGCCCCAATTATGGTCACTAAACAAGGACTACCTGTTTTAAAAATACTCTTCTGTATTTTACCAAGAAAACCATATGGATATACAACATAAAGTGATTGATGATATAGCGGATGATGGGCCCCACAGGTTGGATGGCATTCAACATGCTATTGAGGAAGAGCTGAGGATCTTTCAGAGTTGTTAGATTAAAGCCTTCAGGGCTTCTGGTTGCTGATGTTGCCATGCAGGAAAAAAAAAAAATCCAAAGCTGCAAAAATAGAAGTACAGTGGAAACATGGAACATAAGAAACACGAACATGGGAAAGGTCAACAAAGTGAAAGATGAAATTAATCAACTACAGATTGACCGGCATCAGCAAATTGAAACAGACTAGTATTGGACACTTTCAGTTAGAAGATCATACTGTTTACTAGAACACAAAAAACAAAGAAGGAACAAGATTGCTTTCACAGTCAGGAAGGATACAGCAAGACAGTATTTCGGTACAATGCAGTCAATGTGTGCATAATATCAGTTAACCTCATGGAAAACCCTTTAATATGATGATTATCCAAGTTTATGCTCCAATCACTGATGCAGAAGAAGAGTAGGCTGATGATTTTCAAGTTCAATCATGTTGAGCAGAACATGTAAGCAGGTTGTGCTGCTTGTGGTTGGAGACCGGGATGCCAAAGTTGGAAATATTAAGAAGGAAAATATAGTTGGATTTGCATGGCTTTGCAAATGAAGCAGGTGAATGGCTTAATTTCTGCCAATCCAATTATTTCTTCGTTGCTAATATAGTCTTCCACAACATTTATATACATGGATATCATCAGATGGATATACAGAAATCAGATTGGCTATACTATTAGTTCAATGAAATAGAAGAGTTTGGTTTTAACAGCAAAAAGGTTACCAGGATTTGATAGTGCACAGTTCATGAACTGCCCATGTGTAAATTCCAAGTCAAGCTAAAGTAGAAGAAGAAAGCCAACCAGTTTCCATGATATGAATTTAGTAAGTATAGGACATGGTAAAAACATATGCTTTAAAGAGGCA